TAGGGTTTATATCGCTATGTGTGTAGTTATGTGTAAGCCTTCTACTCCACTCCCACAATTTTATTTTTTCCCGTTGCTTTTTACTTAATCGGTAAAAATGAAAATTATTAGAAGCCTTCCGATGTTGGCAGGCGGTTGTATTTTTCTTGGAGGTCCTGAGCCGGAGGAGGATCCATCCATTAACGGCCTCTTCAGCTGCCCCCCCCCCCAGCCTCCATCAGTGTGGGGGGGAGTTAATGGCTCTGCAACCCCCTGCGAGTGACGTTTGAGGGTCTGCTTCCTGAAGTGCTCTGAGTGGGGAGCTCCTTTGGACCTCCGGTGGTGGTAGTAGTAGTAATAATGATAAAGTTGGAAGGGACCTTGGAGGTCATCTAGTCCAACCCCCTGCTCAGGCAAGAAACCCTATACCATTTCAGACAAATGGCTGTCCAGTCTCTTCTTAAAAGCTTCCAGTGTTGGAGCATTCACCGCTTCTGGAGGCGGGTTGTTCCCCTGGTTAATTGTCCTCACTGTGAGGAAGTTTCTCCTTAGTTCTAGGTTGCTTCTCTCCTTGATGAGTTTCCCTCCATTGCTTCTTGTCCTGCCTTCAGGCGCTTTGGAGAATAGCTTGACTCCCTCTTCTTTGGGGCAGCCCCTGAGATACTGGAAGACTGCTGTCCAGTCCCCCCTCGTCCTTCTCTTCATTAAACTAGACATCCCCAATTCCAGCAACCATTCCTTATATGTTTTAGCCTCCAGTCCCCTGATCCTCTTTGTTGCTCTTCTCTGCACTCTTTCTGTGTTTGTTCCTCCTGCTTGGATAATTTGTGCCCTCTCCCTGCTCATCCTGTCTCCCTGTTTGCTTGTGGCCCAGCAAACAAACTTGGTCAGCACCGGGCAATGCTGGCTGCCTTTTTTAATGGCTGTCTGGCGTCCCCTGCCTGTGTCCACTCTTCCTGAACATGGGGGTTGCAAGAGGTCCGCGGAGGAATCCTTCCAGGGAGCCAGTGTGGTCCAGATGCAACCCGTGAAGCGGAAGGAACTTTTTGCTCACCTGTTCTGTTCTCCCGGTTTTGCTTTTGGGGATAGGAGGCCCTCTCACTTTCCCTTCCCAGACCACTCACCTTTCCTTTCTGCTTAGAAAATATTCAGAGGTACTGTGCTTGTGGTGGCATAAGCATCGTCTAGGCCAGGGGTAGGCAACCTTGGCTCTTTTATGACGCGTGGACTTCAACTCCAGCTGTGCTGGCTCAGGAATTCTGGGAGTCGAAGTCCACGCGTCATAAAAGAGCCAAGGTTGCCTACCCCTGGTCCTAGGCCTTCCGCCGTTAACACCAGGATTTCAACCACAGTTCTGCATACGTGGGCCTGACTGGGATAGTCTCCCATTTTCCAAAGTGATCTTCGTCCGAGTGTCACCCTCCAGGTGTGCTGGATACACAACTTCCGGAATAGTGACCTAGAACCCAAATTCCCAGCCAGCATGGTCCTTGAGGAAAACTGCTCTGAAAGACAGTGGAGAACACCCAGTGAAAAGCCCATTCTATTGTTTTTCTTCTTATATAATGTGAATTGTTGCTTCCCCAGCTCTCTCCCACAGTATTGCGCCTAGGAATGCTCGCACCTCACAGAGTTTCTGTCCCTCAAGCTTAACCGAATAACAGAGTTGGAAGGGACCTTGGAGGTCTTCTAGTCCAGCCCCCTGCTCAGGCAGGAGCCCTATACCATTCCTGACAAGCGGCTGTCCAGTCTCTTCTTAAAAGCCTCCAGTGTTGGGCACTGGAGCAGCCATGACGTCTGGAGGCAAGACATTCCACTGATTAATTGTCCTAAGTGCCAGGAAATTCCTCCTTAGTTCCAGGTTGCTTCTCTCTTTTACTTTCCATCCGTTGCTTCTTGTTCTGCCCTCAGGGGCTTTGGAGAATAGCTTGACAACCTCCCACACACTTCTTTGTGGCAGCCCCTCAGATACTGGAACACTGCTGTCAACCTCTGCTAGCCATAGGGACAGAGGGCCACTGACCATGGACAGAGGAGAAGTGCTTCTGAGGAAATGAGGCTTATAATTCTGTTTGATCTTTAAAGCCAAAGCTTGTTATATGTGCCAGATTTGGCCATTCTGGTTGTTGTACATTTCTGCAAAGGAGTGAACTGCCTCTGTTTGTTCTAGGATTCAACAGAACTACCACAATTGACTTAAGAAATCTTTTATCAGAAGTGGAACTGTTTCAGAAACCCGAGTTTACAAGTGTAGGATTTGTTGTCTGAGAAATAGCTGCAATTGTTTGGGTGCCACAACTCTCTCAGTGAGCATGTAGATGGATGTAGTTGAATCCATCTACCTTACTGCTAGAAGAACCATATTGTTTCCCTTTTGTACAGCACAGTGTGCCTCCCAAATGACAAAGGTTGCTAAAAAGATGCTGGCTTGACAGCGGTGGATGGGGGTAGGAGTTGCCCCAAAAATGAATGTTCACTTTTTCGCAGAATAAACCCTTTTTCCTTAATATGTCTCTGAGAACCACTTTGGGACCTGTTTCAAGGCACCAGGCTGGAAACCCCAAGTTCTAGTCCCATCTTTGGTTTAAGCCAGGGGTGGGCAACCTTGGCTCTTTTTATGACGCGTGGACTTCAACTCCCAGAATTCCTGACTCAGGAATTCTGGGAGTTGAAGTCCACATGTCATAAAAGAGCCGAGGTTGCCTACCCTGGCTTAGGCAATCAGGCTGGAAAGTTGCATAGTTTGTGGCTAGGTGTCAAGACACCCAAAAAACCAGCCACACAACTCTGGTCATGCGCAACTTGGGGCCACTGCCCCTTCCACGCCACTTCAGGCTGTGCCATTGCAGGTGAAAGTTCTTGTGGGGGGAAGAAAAGGACAAAAAGAACAGAGCATTTAAATCAGGGGTGGACAACTGTGGCCCCTTTACCCCCCCCCCCCATGGCTGGCTCAGGAATTCTGGGAGTTGAAGTCCACAGGTCATAAAGGGCCCATAACTACCCATCCCTGATTTATATGAGGCTGGGGTTGTTGCAGGTTAAATTGGCTACCCTTAGATAGGGTGGCAGCTACTCTGAATGTTTTTTTTTTTTTTTAAGGGTATTTTTCCTCCAATGCTGACGTTTCTGTGGAAGTGGTCTGAGAGCAAGAAGTGGGCAGGCTGGACTTGGCCAGTTGGGGGATCAGGGCCTCCCACTTGCTGCAGAGGAAAGCAAAGTCCTCTTTGCTCCCGTGTCAACACTTTGGTGCCGGTTCAGGAACTTTCAGTTGGTTAATCCTGTGCTGCAGGATGAGCCTGAATCCAGCTGCATTCACGTCTTTTGGCGTTCAGATTTTCTTTGGGCAAGGATGCGGGACCTTTGCAACGTCACTCTTTTGGGGACCCGGCAGCCAATGTTTTTCTCCGGATAGAGGAGGCATCCTTACAAGGCCACCAACATTTAGGCCTTGTGTTTTGTTTAGAAACCTTCAGGTCTCAGTCTAAATTTCTTCCTTGGCCGCTGGGCTTTTCTTAATGTTTGGGGGAGAGTCTAGTTCTTGGGCAGCAGCGTCAACTTCCATCCTTCCTTTAGTCTTGGCCTACAAATGTCCCCCCCCCCACCCTCCAGATGGTTGCTCTGCTGTCAACATGCAGCTGGTCTGTCCCGTGACTGCATTAAGCCAAAAGGGTCCTTCGCCCAGGTCCTCTTTCTAAAAGCAGCCCTCCGCGTGCCCTCCCCATTGTTTGAGTCCCCTTCCCCCTCTTTTTGAAGCCCTTCCGAGCTCATGGATAATACTGGGGTTGTGGAAAATAAAGCTCCATAAACTAATCTTCCTCTCACTGAAAGGAGATGCTTTTTTAAATGGGGTACACAGAAGCCCCCAGAGGCTTCTCCCCTGCATCGTCCCAGCCCCCTCCTGGGGCCAACGGCCCTTCCCGGGCTGCCTTGGCCTCCTGCCTTCCCAGCCAGCTCCTGACCAGCCCTTCCCTTTCGCACACGGCTGCTCAGGCTGCCTCCTCTGCCAGGGAGCGGGCCTCGTGGGTTGGCCAAAGCCCAAGGAAACGCAGATACGGATAGTCCTCGACTTACAACAGCTCGTTTAGTGACTTCAAAGTTACAGCAGCACTGAAAAAAGTGGCTTATGACCGTTTTTCACATTTACGGCCATTGCTTGGCAACCTGCTTGGCAACTGGCACGTATTTGTGACGGTCGCAGTGTCCCGGGGTCATGTGATCCCCTTTTGTGAACTTCTGACAAGCAAAATCAAGGGGGAAGCAAAGGCACTCAACAATGGCGTTGCTAACTTCGCAACTGTAGTGCTTCACTTAACAGCTGCGGCAGGAAAGGTTGTAAAACGGGGCAAAATTCACTTTACCGTCTCACGTAGCAACAGAAATTTTGGGTTTAGTGGTGGTTATAAGTCAAGGACTTCCTGTAATTGTCTCTGGGCTGCCCTGTAATAAGAAGCGTTAATCCATTCTGATCCCACATCAACACAAACGGACACGAATCTTGTCTAAATTAACACACAGTACAAAGTGTCTATGGAGGTTCTCAATCGTCCAGGTCGCAGTTATCCCAAAGGTGCTTTTTTCACCAGGCGACCGGGTTGTCTTGTTTTTCTTTGAAGACGTTTCGCTTCTCATCCCAGAAGCTTCTTCAGCTCTGGTGGGGATTGGAAGGGTTTATATTCCTCAGCAGGCATCTGGGTGTTTGCCTCCTTTGAGAGCCGTTGAGGCCACCTGGAGGCTCACCTGTGTCCTCAGGGTCACCTGAGTGAAGCAAATGGGGGTGGAGCCTTTTTGGAACTGCTGAAAGGACGGTGTGGTAGACTGGAGATAGAAGATGTCCTATTTCTCCCCCTCCACCACACAGTCCTTTCAACACTTCCAGGAAGGCCCCACACCCATTTGCACCACTCAGGTGACCCTGAGGACACAGGTGAGCCTCCAGGTGGCATCCCAAAGGTGCTTTTTCAGCAGGCAACTGGACTGAAGAAGCTTCTTGGATGAGGAGCGAAACGTCTTCAAAGAGAAACTAGAACAGGGGTAGGCAACCTTGGCTCTTTTGTGACTTGTGGACTTCAACTCCCAGAATTCCTCAGCCAGCAAAGCTAGAAAGTCCCCCCTGGGACACAGCACGAAGGGAGAGTGCCTGCGACCCCTGGGCATTTTGAATCCGACTGGAAGCAGCAGAACCAAATCAGAATCCATCAGCCAAAAGTCTGAAAGGACGTTTATGGTGCATATTTACAAAAGATCACTATATAAACAACTTGGGTTTTATATTATTATCAAGGCAAAAAAAGTCCAGCCAGTCCTGATGGGAGCCCCAGCCAGAGTTTTGACAACAGGGTGACCCATAACCGCCGAAGGGGCGCTCTCGGCCGCGGTGCCCTTTTCTTCTCGCCTCCTAGGATGTGGGTCCGTTAAGACGCCTCCGCCCGATGCTGGTCCCTTTGCCATAAGCGCCTTTCACGGCCTCCCCTCTGCCACATTGGCAGCTCTGGGCCTCCTCGGCTTGCCTGCAAATCCAGTCTTGGGGCTCTCGGTCTCTCCCCATAAGTTCGTCCTGCTCCAGAAGGCGGCCAAGGGCAGGCCAGAGGGGCCCGGCCAGTTGCTGCCACTGCTGCAAGCTTCGCCACCACCGTCCTGCTTCCGCGCGGGGCTAGCTCCGAATGGCTGTCTTTCTTTCTCGGTCTTTACTCTGCAGGGGTAAAGGAGAAGGGGGAGATTATGCAAAGCCATCCAGAACTGGCTCCAGGTCTATAAACAAAGCAACAGGCTGCCGGCCCTGGTCCTCCTCACCGCACGGCCTCCTTCCTCTTGTGGGTGCCAGATTTCTAGCCTTACCCCCCTGCACCCTTCCTGTGCCCAAGTGCCAACAGCCAGAGGAGCCCTTCCGAGTGAGCGCGGGGCTTCCAGGGCTGCCAATTGCCCCTTTCCCACCTGCCTCTTTATTAGGATCCCTCCCCGCGTTTGGACCCTCCCCTTGGAAGGAATATGCTCTCCGTCCTTTGCTTTCCTGCAGTTAGGAAGCAACTTGGGGGGGGGAGGGGTAGTGTTTAACTGGGCGTCTTTGGGCTGGGCAATGGCCAGAGTCTCCCTGGCTGGTCATCATTCAGAGGCAGCTTTTTCAGGGCCTTTGGGGGGCCTTGGGGTCAGGAGGCCCCTCGGGTGGGATAAACGGTCAGCGGATGGTTCTTAATGGGCAAGCCCATCCTTTGCTAAAGAGGAGGGGTGAGCCCAGGAACGGCCACACCGAATTTCCCAGATGTTCAGGCCCCGAGAGCCCGCTTGCTGTCTGGAGAGGAAGTGGGGATCTGGAAAAGGCTGCCCCAGGTTCTTCCCCTGATCCCTTTGCTTTCCCACTGCCCCTGAAAGCAGGAACCGTAAATTAAGGGGGCTACGCAGCTGGCTTCCAGGTGCCTCTCCCTGCTTGCTGAAGTGCCTGTGGGGGTCCCCGGGACCTCTCGGTTCAGCTTGCTTGCGGCTTCTGAGTCGGTGCCTGAGAGGGAGGGGAAGGGACCCCCCCCCCTTTTGGGGAACTTTGCCCAGGAAAAGGGTCCCTGGCTCAAGGGCGCTCATGGGAGCTTGCATGGCATTCTCAGGAGTGGGCTCCTGCTGGCTTCTGCCCAGGTTTTTGGACTAGGGAGAGGCTCTCCGCTTGAGCCCCTACATGCCGGCCCCTTGCCTTCTCCAGAAGGGGGACATGGCTCCTTCGGCACCCCAAAACACTGCAGGGGGCTCCTGGGGCTCTTGAAGCACGGCCATCCAGTGACTACCGGCTGGCCCTTGCAGCTCGAAGGATCCAGATATCCCATCTGGTCTTGCTGTGTATGGAGGTCTCCCCCCCAACCCCCAAACATGCTGTGAATGCCTGACCCTCTAGACCTGGGGGGGGGAGCTGCCTTGGTGGAGACAGGCTTGACTTCAGAGAGGGAGCAGATTCCCCCCCCCCGTTAAAGAAACTTGTGCTTCACGAGATGTGATAGGAAAAAGCAGAAAAACTCCTTTGAGTTCTGGGACCCATTTGGTTCCCTTCCTTTTGTGTGGAATTCTGTTTGGGTTGATGAGAGTGAACGTGGGGGGCCGGGACCCTGGAACTTCTTCACCCTAGGGGCTTCGGAGACATACCGCAGCCTCTCAAAGTCCCAGTTTCCCCGTCAACCAGGCAGACGGCTCCCCCGCCTCCAGAGACATCTTGACCCTCCGTTAGGAGAGCGAAAGCCGAGAATCTGCTGGAGGGGGGCCAGAGGCCTTTGCCTTCCCCCCCCCCTCCACACTTCTGATTCTTTCCAGCCCCACCGGCGGTGGAGAAGGAAAGGCCTAGGGTCCCTCTGCCAGTGGGACAGTCTGAGAACGAAAGGCCAAGCTGGATGCAGCGGGGGTGGGAGGACCCCTCCTTCCTCCTTCCCAGTCCTAGGATCGAGAGCAGAATTATTTTTAAGGGATGGGACAGAATTGTATTACTTAGGCCAGGGGTAGGCAACCTTCCCCTGGCCGAGGCTTTTCCTGGCTTGTTGTGAATAAGGATTTGTACTCCTTATAGGGGGCAATTGTGGATGAAATAGTCGAAGGGCAGGTGATGCAGCCATTGGGAGAAAAGCTGGTTTGCTTATTTTCAGTGTTTTGTCGTTTTGCTTCTGAAATGTAACATTGCAACCTGGAATGCGCACTTGTGTTGCAGCACCTGGTCATCCTTTAAACATGGGGGTCCCAGTAGCTGCAGCCGCACTCAGGGCAGGTGGGTGAAAGAAAGCATGGCTGCCTTTGCCCCCCAAAGAAAAACGTCACCAGCAAAACACCACAAGAACCATGTGGCAGCGGTTAAAGAAACGTTCTGTGCTTTTAAGCAAGTTTCAGGCATGGGAAGAATGACCCCCAGGAGGGCTTCCAGAAGGATCCTTTGTGGAGGCCTGGTAGCCAGACAGTCTTGGCATCGGAGAAGAATGTCAAGTGAATGCAACTAAAGAGTCTCTTGTGAATGTCTGAATCTACCCAGTGGGTGTCTGTGAGCCCTTTAAGGACTGCTGCACTTAAACTCTCTGCCGTTCTCAAGTAGCCCAAAAGGGCACCTTCCAATCTCCCACCAAGGTCCTGGAGCCCCTCCGGGCACCAAAGGCCTCCTGTTGGAAAGCCCTTGGGATATACTTGGCATTGATTGCATTAGCGTTTGTTTTAAAAAAAATCAATAAATTGCTAGTTAATTTGGCTAGCTATTGTGGGAAGTAGGGCATTGGATTAAAAGTACAATCTTAAAGTTCTTAAAGTGCTGTCGGGACAGGAAGCGAGGTAGAAAATGGCGACGTAGAACCCTCAACTCGGCCCCAGTAGTTGGCTGGTTGGCTTTGACCCACGTGCCCTCTCCCAGCCCGAAGGAGAGGCTGAGGTAGCAGTGCTGTGTGTGGTGCCTTAGGCTGCTGCATGAAGGGCGGAATACAGATCTAATTTAAAAAAATTAACAAAATCCAAACAAAAATTAACAAAACCACTTTCATTTTTGGCCAGTGCTCTGAGCACCTAGTGCAGCAAAACCGTTGGTGGCTATGGCTGCTTTCATGCAATTACTCTCCATGGGGGGGGACGCAAGAGGGAATTCCGTACCTGAAAAGATAGCATTGCCTGCCAGACTTGGGGCAGCCGCTCCCCCCCCCCATTGTTCCACCTCTGTCCTCCCACCGGCATCAAGATGAGAGCAGCAAAGGTGGGGCAAAAGGCCTGCAGGAAGAGGAGGGGTCCCCAAGCCCTCTTAGGAGGTAGCCAGCCCCAGGAAGACGCTGAACATGGGTGGATTACGGGGCCTTCTGAAGTGAACAGTCAGGGCTGAACGCGGCTACCTGCCCTCGGCTCCACGGAAGGGAGCCCCCCCCCCCCACTTCTGAAGGCCGGCTGGGGAGACCTCTGACTCGGGAGCGCCTCTCCTAACAGCTGCCAGCCTCCTTTGGGGACGTGCAGTGTCAGAGCACACACACACACACACACACACACACACACGTGGGCAAAATGACTCAGGTTCGAGCCCAGCGTTTCTCCTGGAGTGTCCTGAAACGACCTGTGGCTGTCCGGGAGCCCCTGTCCACGGAGGGGATCCTTCGGGTCCAGAGGAACCGCTGACCTGACCTGCTCTAGGGCGGCTTCCTGGGTCGGCTTTGGGCCTGCAGCTGTGGCCCCCTTGCTGACTTCGGCAGCGGCAGCAGAGGAATTCTGGGCTCTACCTGGCCCATTTTTTCCATGCAGCGCCTTTTCTTTCCTGTTAAAAAATGGTTGGGGGTGCTATTTTCATGAGGTGGGTGGCTGCATACATCTGATAAATAAAATAAATAAATGCTGCCAGAACTTGCTGTACTTGGTCCCTTCAGGTCCAAAGACGCCCCACCTTTGAACTCCAGCTAGGTTTTCGGGTCTAAGTACGACTCCCCCAAGTTGCCCCCATGATGCCAGCCGTTATGAGGCGGCAGCTCCTGACTGGGGACCATTTTTAGTGAAAAGCAAGACTGCCCAGATGTGAATTGTTGGAGGAGTTCTCAACTTCTGTCTGGGTCACATCGATTGGGAACCGGGAGGAAAGCCTTATTCCTTATTCCTTAATATGGATCACAGACAAATCCGACTAAGAAGGGTCGGCTTCATCCTCCTAGCTGGAGAGTTGCTCCTTCCTGCAGCCCTTCTGGAAGTTTCATATGAGATCATTTCAAAATCCTTATTTGCGTCCTCTGGGTAAACCGGCCGGGAGGGGACTGACCCTGGCAAAGTGAAGGGAGTGCCGCTGCTGTTATAATTAATTTTCCCAATTGCAGTCCTAATTGTAGACATTGTTTATGAAGCTGATTCACTTGTAAGTGGGTCAAACGGTTGCAAAGGCGGACTTGCTCTCCACATAGAGATGTTTCATAAAATAGCCCTTGGTTCCTGGGGGTGGTCATCTCTCCCCAGTGCATATTTTTTTCTCCTTCTGGGTGATGGATGTTGCCTTCTGAGCCGTGACCTTTGGAAGGTCTCCTGCTCCACAGGTAGGTTTGCAGAAGTGTCTGCCCAGGAGCAAAATCTCCCCTTTCATGCTGAAACTCAAGAAGGTGCGTTTCCCGTGGCTGTCCCTGCAGCAGCCTCTGTTCCTGGATGCCACAAGGCGTATTTCCAGTGTGCCGCTGCTGTTGCTCGAGATTAAGAGTACCGCCTGCATGCGTGGACGCTTCCCCCTCCGCGGTCCCCCTTGCGTGCCGCTCCTTCGACGGGCAGAAGGACTCTGGCTGGCCAGTGCAGCTTTCCTTTCCCAGCCAGGCTGGACGTGGCCGAGAGTTTTTCTGTCTTCTGGGGCTGCTCTGCTCTTGCCCTGAACTCTTGCTGAAATTCCTCAGGAGAGCAACGGGAGGGGAAAAATGCGCGCACTCCCAGATGCAGGGTCCCAACACTCACCAAACAGAGAAGCAGAAATAAGGCGTGCAAGTTTTGTGTCTGTGAGAAATGAGGCCTGAAACCACAGCCCCGCTAAACAATTGCGGCAGCTCACAAGGGTTTGGAATTTGCATTGCAAACATACGCCTAGGCCATTTTTAAGAAGCAGCTTACTTTTTCTCCTGGTCCTCCTGCTTTAGAGGAGATTTGAGGTATCCGCCTGCTGTTGAGGGCTGAAGGGGCCCCAGTGAAGGAGATGGACCAGGAAGCTGGTCCTTCCCACGGAGACTCGTTTCCTCTTGGGTCTGTGGGATCCGGCATTCAGGCTGTGCCTCTTCCTCGCTCCTTCCGCCTTTCAAAGGCTGAGCCTGGAAGGGAAGGCCGCCTGATTCGGCTTCCCCTGATGTTCAGGTGGTGGTGGTGGCCACCCCCTTGTGTGGCCGCACACGAGAGAGAGAAGGGGAAGGAAAGGAAGCCCCATCGGACAAGGCCACACGCTTCTCTTTCCCCAAGAAGCTTGCATGTTTTGTTCGTGTGAAGTGTCTCATCCAGGATGAGTAAATGGAGAATTGAGGTCACCCCCTCAAACCGGCCAAGATTGAATTCTGATCATTTTTCTTTCTTCCTCAGACGCCTCTCTACGTCCTTTTATCTTCTCTGGTTCCACAGACTCTTTCCTCATACGTTAACCCAAATGCGCCCGTAATTAAGATTGATTTGAGGAAACGTGTCGGTTGCCCTGTGTAGACAATTACATCCACAGATAGTAATCTGGGGACCCACGGGAGTTGCGGTCCAAGAAATCTGGAGGCACCCCCGTTTTTTGCTCCTGGACCACATCCGCTCCTCCTCTCTCTGTCTGCGAAGGGAGAACACATGGCGTCCTTTGGGGGGGGTCAGACGTTCCCCTTCTGCCTTCCGCTCTGCGATTGGACCGAGAGAGCCTTCTGGGAAGCCAGATGTTCTCCTGCTCCTGGAGGCTTTGTCCTCTGCATTGCTGGCTTCTCCCAGAGGTTGCAGGCCTTTTGACCAGCCACCCCGCTTTCTGCCCTTGGGCACCCCAGCCTCTGTAGCCTCTTGCCGGGAGGACCTCCACGAGGAAGGGGGCTGTCATTCTGCAGGTCTGGGACCTGCTGAGAGCTAGTTGCCTTAGAGGGGGTCTGTACCCTAGACTAAAACACAGCCCTTTCTTAAGCCCTTAGACGCAGACGTGGACATTTGCATGGCACTTTCCGTTAGGATACAAGTTCTTGTGGCACATTGTTTACGAACTTAAAAGAGTTTCCTTGTCTCTATTGCTGGCTATTATGGAACTAAAATAAAATAAAATCTAAAACAGTCAATGGGAAAATGCATTTTTTTCTTACTTTAAATATTTTTTAAAAGGCTTTTTTTAAATCGCAGCTAAAATCTTCAGGAAGGATAGCTACTACCGAAAGTGTGCCAAATGTGTCTGTTGCCACTCCGTGTTTTATGCTTTAACAATAATTAACATTCCTTGCTAAAGTCTCTCAATCGAGGGCCTTTCCGTCAGATACTTTGAGCCATACGGAGGGAGGGTGAGCAGCAGCCTGTTCCCGTGCCAGACCAAACATCCCGAGCCGGTGGATAGCCGTCCTAAGTAAGAGGGGACCTTTTGCTTGGCAGTCACGGTGCTCATAGGACCCTAATGGATACTCGCCACGGTGTGTGTCTGTGAAGTGAGGAGTCTCCAGATCTAAAATGTGTGCTTCAGGACCCTCCTGGCTGGCAGCAGCAACGGATACGGCAGGGGTGGGAAGATCCAAGGCGGGGGTTCCCCAGGCCTTGGCATGGTCTTTGTTTCCCCACCAGACTAGAGAGAGGGGCTTTGCTGGCAGGAGGCATCCTTGAGCAGGCAGGACCCCTCCCCTTCCCCAAAGCCCCCCCCCTCCAGTGGATCCTGGAGCAGGCTGGACTGAGGGACCAGTGGGACTTTGTGTGGAGTCCCCCAATGGAGCTCCTTTAGCACCTCTCTCTCCATGCCCCTTCCTCCATAAAGGTTTCTTTGCTCACGGGGATTGTGCAGTGTGCGATATTGTGGGTGGGTGGGTGTTGTGGGCAGGCAGGTTTCTTTGCTTCCGGCTTAACAGATCAATGGGGCGCTGCCTGGAAGGGCTTCCTCCCCCTCCCTTAAGGTAACCGTTGCATCTGGAACGGACTCCAGCCTCCCAGTGGAAGCCCTCTGCTCCTGGGAATTACTGGGGCTCCGCGGGTAATAAAGGTTGGGCACCTGAAGGGCCCTCTGGGTCTCCCCGGAGCAGCCCAAATGGGCCTGCTGGCTCCAAGGAGGATCCCGGTCCCTGCTCAATATTGGTGTGTTCAGGTGGCCTGGCTGGAGCGTTGAGAAAGGCTCAGGTTGCCGGTACAAACGATATCTGAGAGCAGCCCTTGGCTAACCAGAGATTGTCAGGATGGCCCAGTTCTGGCTTGCAGAAAGCCAAGGGCTGCTCGCCTCTCTTGCTTCCCGTCCCCCTACCCCCCCCCGTCTCTGGGCTGCCCTGCTTTGATCTCTGGGGGGGGGTTCTATTAGGTGGAGTGGGGGACACCCCCCCCCCGGACCTCACAGAGAAGGGTGGCGTGCGTGTCTCAGCTTGGGGAGCCCCGCTCTGACCCCCTACCCGCCTGCCTCCCCCCCCCCGCGCCACTCACCAGCTTCCTCTGGTTGCTGAGGCAGAAGGTGCAGATCTGCTTGGGCTGGGAGCCCTCGCTCTCCTGGGCGGCCGGGCTGCCGCCGCCCTTGCCCGCGCCGCGGTGGAAGAAGGCTGGGCCGGCGTGGCAGGGCTGCCCGTCCCCGCAGGCCTCCCCCGCCAGCAGCACGTTGCCCAGGTGCGCGATGTAGCTGGAGGCCAGGCGCAGCGTCTCGATCTTGGAGAGCTTGCGGTCGGCCGGCTCGGTGGGGATGAGCGTCCGCAGGGCGCTGAAGGCCGTGTTGACGCTGTTGGTGCGGTCCCGCTCGCGCGCGTTGGCCGTGTGCCGCTGCCGGGGCTCCCGGGACACGCCGCGGCCGCCCTTCTTGCCCGGCCCGCGCCGGCCGCCCGGCAGCCCGTAGGCGGCCGCCTCCAGCGCGTAGGGCTTCTCGTCCGAGCCGGAGCTCTCGCCGCTGCCGTTCTCCTCGTCGTCCTCCTCCGACAGCAGGCCGCTCACCTCGGGGTACAGGAAGCGGCTGGGCGCCGAGCGCAGCAGGGCGAAGGAGGACATGGCCGGCCGGGCGGAGGCGGAGGCGGGCGGCCTCAGCTCCGGTCTCTCATCTTTCGGCCGGCGGGCGACTCCGCGCCGCTCCCCCGGCGTCTTTATCCCCGTGGCCTTTTTCGACTCGCCCGCCTCCTCCGCCGCCTCTGGAGAGCGGGGCCCCTCGGCGCAGGCAGAGCCTCACGTGCGGGCGGCGGCGGCTCCTGTAAGACGGCAGCGGCCGGACCGGCGCGCGCGAGTTTTATATTGTCCGTGAGTGGCCGGCCGGAGAGGCGCCTCCCTCCCTCGCTCCCTCCGTCTCTCGCGGCGGCGGCGGCGGCGGCAGCGGCAGCTTCACGCCTACCTGAGCGTCCTCCTGTTGGGGGAGCCCCCGCCCCCGCCCGGGGGCTGCAGTCTGGAGTGCTGGGAGGGGGGCCTGCGCTGACTTCACCTGTTGGATGCGGAGCTGGGGCTGGCTCGGAGCTTCCTGGGCGGGGGGGGGGCAGAGGGGAGGCGGCAGGAGGAACCCATCCCCTCTCCCTCGCAGTTAGGAGTGTCCAGTTGAGGTCAGCCCAGTCCAGCCAGAGGTGGCTGGGGAAAGACAGCCTGGTCTTGGCCAGTGGGGAGGAATAGAATAGAATAGAATAGAATAGAATAGAATAGAATAGAATAGAATAGAATAGAATAGAATAGAATAATAAAATATAGAATAGAATATGGAATGGAATGATGATAATAGAATAGAATTAGCAGATTGTAGAACAGAATAGAATGTGAAATGGAATAGATATGGAATGGAATAGAATAGAATATGGAATGGAATGGAATAATGATAGAATAAAGTAGAGTAGAATAGAATAGAATAGAATTAGCATATTATAGAATAGAATAGAATAATAAAATACAGAATAGAATAGAATATGGAATGGAATGATGATAATAGAATAGTATAGAATTAGCAGATTGTAGAACAGAATAGAATGTGGAATGGAATAGAATAGAATATGGAATGGAATAATAATAGAATAGAATAGAATAGAATAGAATAGAATAGAATAGAATAGAATAGAATAGAATAGAATAGAATAGAATAGAATAGAAAATATGGAATGGAATGGAAATAAAATAGGAATACAAATGGAATAGAACTGGAAGGGACTTTGGAGGTCTTATAGCCCAGCCTGCCTTCCGCCAGCAGGAGAACCTATACCAACTCAGACAAGTGACGTGACTGTCCAGTCTCTTCTTAAAAACCTCCAATGATGGAACATCCACAACTTCTGGAGGCGACCTGTTCCACTGATTAATTGTCCTCACTGTTAGAAATTTTCTCCTGTTAGGTTGCTTCTCTCTTTGGTCAGTTTCCATCCGTTGCTTCTTGACCTGCCCTCTGGTGCTTTGGAGAATAATGTGACCCCCTCTTCTTGGTGGCAGCCCCTCAAATACTGGAATATTGCTATCATGTCACTCCTGTTTCTTATTTTCTTTAAACTGTCCAACCGTTCTGCATATGTTTTAGTCTCCAGGGCTGTGATAATCTTAGTTGCTCTTCTCTGAATTTTTAACAAGGTCTCAACATCTTTTTTGTAGTATGGTGACCAAAACTGGCTGCAATATTCCAGGTGTGGCCTCACCAGGGCTTTATAAAGATTAACCCTTGCCAGGCTGCTACTCTGGAGAAGCTGCCCTGCTCCTGAAGGCCTCAGCAGCATCAGGCTCTCCTGGTCTTTGTGTATGGATCCCATCTACACCCCGTCGGATCCGCTGTGGACTCCGGTCGGGTGGCAGGAGCAGAAAACCTCCTCCGTCATCCAGATCCCCCCACACATTTTGGTTCCAGTCCCTCTGCACCCTCCTTGCCAGGGTCTTCAGATGGGGCCAAGCCAGGGCAGGCAGCAGCCTCATGGAGCTCGTGGCGCTGTCGGTCTTGAGGCAAGGCTGGTTCCTCTCTTGATGCAGCATGCAGGTAGGCTACGCTGGGCACTGCAGGTTTCACAACACACAGTGAAGCATCAGCAGCAAAACCTGGACCGCTTGTTCGGCTGTAAAGAAGCAGGCAGTTCAGCTCTCTTGGCTGGGTTTTATCTCTCCCCCCCCCCCCCGAGTTGTTAGATGAATAAATAAATCTCTGTCCGACCAGGTCCCACATCTTGCTGGTTAGAAGATGGGTAGCTATGCTGGCTGAGGAATTCCAGGAGCTGAAGTCCACAAGTCTTAAAAGTGGTCAAGGTTGCACACCCCTGATTTAAATAAATAAACAGAACCTTGTGGGAACAAATATGGCGTCCCAAACTTTAATCGTGACCTGTTGCATGCTGGGAAGCTGACTTCCAGTTCTGGGGCCCTCGGAAATGGCTTCCTTTCAGGCCGGCCGGCCAGGCATACGATAAGACCGAGCAGTTTCAGTTGTCTTTGGGCTCGGAGACCTGGGATCGGGTTAGCACCCCGGGCAACCACGTTCGGCCTTGGAGCTCGGGCCAGGAGTTCTTCTCTCGGCAAGGGCAGCTGCTGCTCCTCTCTGGGGAACCGGTGGCACCTTTCAGGTGCATTTGGGTCCCCCCCCCCCCACTTCTGAGGAGCCCTGGCTGGGGGCCGCCGGTGTCCTCTCCAGAAGGAAGGACCTTCCCCATCTGCCCCCAAAGCACCTAACCTTGGGATCTCCTGGTCAAGCTGCCTTGGCGGGCCCAGGGGTCTGCAGGCTTTCCCCCCCCTCGTGCTAGGGAGGGAGAGGCCAGTCAGGAAAGGGAGGGGACAGGGCAGAGACACCTGGGCTTCCCGGCCTCACCTGGCCAGCACAGGTCAGAAGGAGAGGCCAGGTGAGTGCTTCTCGGCTCTGGGCAGCTGAAGGGAACGCAGCCTTGCAGGACCCCTGCCCATGTGGAGCTGCAGGGAGACCTTCCTCAGCCATAGGACGCCCCTGCAGTTAGTTTGCTCCAGTCTGGATAAGAGAAAGAGTCCTTTCTCTCTCTCTCTCTCTCTCTCCCACCCTCCCTCTCTCTCTCTCTCATTATCTCTCTCTTTCTCTCTTTCTCTTTCTCATTATCTCTCTCTCATTTTCTCCCTCTCTTTCTCTCTCATCTCTCTCCCATTCTCTATTTCTTTCTCTCATTATCTCTCTCTCTCTCTCTTTCTCATTATCTCTCTCTCTTTCTCCTCTCTCTTTCTCTCTGTCATTCTCTCTCTCATTCTCTCTCTCGGTTTCTCTCTCATCTCTCTTTCTCTCATTCTCATTATCTCTCTCTTTCTCATTATCTCATTCTTTCTCTATTTCTCTCCCTCTCTCGCTCTTTCTTTCATTCTCTTTCTCATTCTCTCATTCTTTCTCTATTTCTCTCTCTCTCTTTCCCTCTCTTTCTCTCTCTTTCTCTCTTTCTCTCATCTCTCTCTCATTCTCTCTTTCATTATCTCTCATTTTCTCATTCTTTCTCTATTTCTCTCTCTCCCTCTCTCTCTCTTTCTCTGTCTCCCTCCCCCTCTCTCATCTCTCTCATTCTTTCTTTCTCTCATTATCTCTCTCATTCTTTCTCATTCTCTCTCTGTCTCTCTCTCATTCTCTCTCTTCTTTCTCTTTCTCTCTCTCTCTCTTTCTCTCCCTCCCTCTCTCTCTCCCTCTCTCTCATCTCTCATTCTTTCTTTCTCTCATTCTTTCTCATTCTCTCTCTCATTCTTTCTCTATTTCTCTCTCCCTCTTTCTCCCTCTCTCTCTCCCTCATTATCTCTCTCATTCTCTTTCTTTCTCTCATTATCTCATTCTCTCTCTTTCTCTCATTCTCTCTCATTATCTCTCTTCTTTCTCTCTCATTATCTCTCTCTCATTCTCTCATTCTTTATTTCTCTCTCTCTCCCTCCCTCTCTCTCTCCCCCTCTTTATTTCTCATTCTCTCTCTTTCTTTCTCTCGTTCTCTCATTCTCTCTCTCATTCTCTCTTTCTCTCATCTATCATTATCTCTCTCTCATTCTCTCATTCTTTCTCTATTTCTCTCTCTCTCCCTCTCTCTCTCTGGTCCTCCTCCATGGGCCCTTTGGGTTGGCAGTCAGTCCTCCTAAGGGCATCGGACCCTTTGGGGGAAGGCCTGGGGCTGCCTCCCCTGAATCTGCCCAGGGCCCCTCCCGGCTCAGCCTTTCTCCGCTGGGGGTTGCCTTGGGAAGCTCTGGAGCAGAGCCAGCAGTGTCTGCCCAAGGCTGGGGGGGATTTCTCTTCCCTCCCCTCCTCCCCCACCCCCAAATCCGTCTGACACCCCCTCCCCCCTTTCCCTCCGGCTGCTCCCCCTTCTCTTCCTTCTCCACGTGGACCAGCAATTTTCGAGGCAGGGCCGTGCCAGGAATGCACACCCAGGAATGCCTCGGCTCTTCCAAGAGCAACTTCCAGACGTGTGGCTGAGTGACGGCAGTGCCTTGGGGGGGGGGCTGATGTGTTAATTGTGGGAGGCAGCTGGAGGGGCGGGAAAGCTGCTACTGGCATCAGCTCCACGTAGGAAAGGCTCTTGGCTGCTCTGCTCTGCTCTGTGCTCCTCTCCTCTTGGGTGCCTCCTCCGCCCCTCATTCAAAGTGCACCTGGGGGGGGAGAAGCCATGCCAGGTGGATGTCCCACCCCAGCTCTGGCAGCAGACTCGGGGCTCCCTGTTTGCAATATGCCTTTCCACTTATGGCAGTTCCCCTTTCCCCTCTGCTGCTGCTGCCGCCCTGGGAAGCTCCGCTGAGATGGGGGGGGGGCATTTGCCCTTACTCAGGAGCTTGGGAAAGGGGCTGTTCTGGATCCCTCAGATCTGCAGGAGGCGGAGGGACAGTCGGGCATAAAGGCAGAAGAGGCTGGGCATGGCCATCTGTCACGGGGGGGGGGACAGGAACAGCGTGCCTGCATCCTCAGAATCCCCCAAAGGGTTCCTGGGACCCCCGTTCCTTTTGCTTCCTGGTAGGTGCCTGGCTGGGGGAGGAGAGGCGCTTTGGGGATGAGTCACCTGGATATGGTCACCATCCTGGGCTAGGAAATGAATTCCTGGCCCTGGGAGGGGGCGGGAGGCTCTTGTCCTCCTGGAGAGCTTATGAAGCATCCCATCTCAGGGCCTTCCGATTCACTCCTTGCCTCCATGTGCTCATTGGGGCCTGGAGGGCGACCCAGGTGGAAAGGGGGGGGGGTCCCAGGGTGCCTCCAAGACAGGGAAGCAGATTCCCCCTCCGTCAGCTGGCAGGGAAAGGGTGGAGTGGCCGGCCAGCCAAAGGCGCCCATTAAAGCAGCCGAGGAGCCCGGCTCCCTCAGGGTGGCCAGAAATGTGATTTCCAGCAGAGACTCAGCTTTCCAGTTGGTGGGAATGGGCCACAGAGCCCCCGATGGTGGATGGTTAAGCAGGTCCATAATGCTGAGTGCCTGCTGCCTCTTGGGAGAAGAGGGGTTTTGTAGTCCTACCTTCGCTGTGTGCCTGCTTGTGTTGCTCTCCGGGGGCGGCTCCTTTG